GGGGGGCAAGAGAAAAGGAGTGCAACAGAGCAGAATATGCAGGGCTTAATTAGTTGGTGATGGGCGATAAAATGTCACAAGAAGAAACAGAAGTCGAGGAGTGTTGCATACTGATGACTGCGGCAGCCTGAAATCTGCATCTAACAACTCCAGGTCCACTTAGAAGCTGGTTTTGACCTGTGCATGGGAGATTAAAGACAACACACATCAGCAAGACCACAAAGAGACTTTCACCTCCACTTCAACCCCACTGGGTGCTGTGTTTTTTGTCAACGTCCAATGCGACTGCAATGCATCGTCTCCATTTTTCCACGCTGCCAAAATCCAGTCTGGTGCAGACTGAATTAGAGAAAAATGACTCATGGATTTGACTTGAGCTTGGCTAGTTAGAAGACTACACAATAATACCGAGGGAAGTAAATAACCAAAGGCTTTACTAAACAATTGCAGAAAGCCGAGCCTACATGATTTCCCAGACTCTATCTCAGCACAAATAAATTGCTCGATTCCTAAATATATCTCACCAATTCTCAGGAAGACTGTAAGTAAGTTGGCAAGACATGAAAAACACTTAATCGCCAAATTGAACAAACTCTACAACGCACGCAGAAACGTCTCCATTTAAAGCATGTGTTCAGCAGCACAGAACATCATCATTAGGCTTAAAAGTATTTTAGAATAAGTGATTTGTTGGAAATACAGGGTGCTGTTTGGCGAGATGTGACTGCTCCATCTCTGATTTATCAAGGCTAAAGGGAAAAAAAAACCCCAACAGACTTTTGTGAGTAAGCCGCCTAAAAATGTCAGACCACTTTACAATGTCTTGAAGCCTTGACAGAAAGAAAGAAGCTGCAGTAGTTAACACAACAAACACTCCGCATTTTAAGAGCAGCTATCATTAAGTCTGTGCTCGCATCAAACCGCAGACTGTTCTTTGCCTCTTCTTCTAAAGGCGTCAGTATGTAGCATGCAAGGCTACATTTAAAAGGACTTTTCTTGAAACACAGATGTATTCGGGAAATTATCTGTGTCTCTCTTTTAAGATGAGCATTTGGGAGTAGCACTTCTTGCTGCCAGCTCCAGCATATGTGCATCTAGCAGCAGGGAAGTAAGACCGGGGAGGAGGTGAGAAAGAACTAAGAGTACCAGTGTTTTCCTCAGAAGTCTGGGATTAATTGAAAGTAATTAAGGAAGTAGCCATCTCTGCGGGGACTAGGGGCGGCCTCACCCCCACCCATCAATCAGCAGCTATCAGTGCTGAGCCTAAAACCAGCACAGTGGCAGTACATTGTGTACTGACATCACTTCTTAAGCGCTAATCGTTTATCGCCCCACTGCCCCGGGATAAAGTCAAAGAAAGTCCAAAGCTTTGCTGATGAGAAACTGACAAGCAAACTAAACAGAAACAGAAACTGTGGTTGGAAACTGACGAGGCAGAAAAGACGAAGTGATGCTGATGTGATAGACATTGATACTAGGGGTGCAACGATACACAAAATTCACGGTTCGGTTCGGTTCGATACTTTGGTGTCACGGTTCGATATTTTTTCGATACAAAAAAATGTTCATGCCTTTTTAATTTGTCATTTATTAAAATTATAAATATATATTTTAACTCAAAAGTACAGTTTTTAAATTTAATGTTGCTGAAACAAAAGTAATTAAAAAAATAAATCTGATTGAGGAATCACTCATCTTTGGAAAAGAGAGTTTATTACAGAGAAATGGCTCTTTCCAAAATAAAAGCTATACTATACGCTTCTTCTGGGCTATATTCTCAGCAGCATATTGTAGCGGGTCAGGGCTGTTCGGGGTTCTGTTTGTACAGTTATGTTTTGTTTATGTTGCCATAGTGACGGGTGACGCCCTCTCGCTGCGACGGTGTGTCCTTCCGGGGTCAGAGGGCGCCCTGTGTGTTGTTGTTGTTGCTGTGCGGTTGCCGCGCTGAGCAGTTAGCTAGCGGCAGTGTTCTTCTGCAGATGTCAATAAACGGCTGTGCTCCCTGGCTAGCTCACGGGAAGCAAGACCAAACGACACCTCCGTCTCCTCCTTGTCTGAGCTCGCCACAATATTAAACATATCAGGTCCCCATAAGGAGAATCATGTGCTAACGGCTGTCTAAATGACTCGGGTAAAGTTTGTAGCATGCATGCTTGTTGTTTTTGTCTGCTTCCACTTGTCTTTGCACTAGGATGATGTCGGCGTAAATGTGCAGTCATATTCGTTGTGTTCCCACTAGTGCTGTCAGCGTTAATCTCGTTGAAATGACGTTAACGCCACAACACGGCAAATCTCCGTTAACGAGCTACCCCTGCATGGGGCTAGACGGCCAACACGTTAACGAGCTAACTGCGCTAACACACTAGTTCCCACCCATGTAATTGAGCATTGCGTGGCACATCCAACATACTGTTTTACTTTAGTCCATGACGCGCTTACCTTCAGGGTCATACGTCACATGAAAACCAAAATAATTCCAAACGCCAGATCTGAATGAGGGTGGGGGAGGTCCATGTTGCAAGGAGAGCTTAACTTCTGTCTTGCTAGCTTGCCCTGCGCTCTTCCTTCTGACGATGCTGTCTGTGTTGAGCGCTCAGTGGATCTGCGCTCGACAGTGCAGCCTAGGCGGAGTAGTCGAACGCAGATTCACTGAGCGCTCAACACAGACAGCATCGTCAGAAGGAAAGTTGATAAAATAAATTACAAATTTTGTATTGTTCGATACATATGCATACCGAACCGAAAGCACTGTATCGAACGGTTCAATATCGATACGAGTATCGTTGCACCCCTAATTGATACATAGCGCACCTACGGGAGCCTTTGAAAGACACAACTTCAATTCGATTCAGTTCATTTCATATAGTGTGAAATCAAAACAACAATATCGTGGCTCAAGAGTTGGCAGTACGTCTTGTAATCGGAAGGTCGCCGGTTCGAACCCCGGCTCGGACAGTCTCGGTCGTTGTGTCCTTGGGCAAGACACTTCACCTGTTGCCTACTGGTGATGGTCAGAGGGCCCGGTGGCACCAGTGTCCGGCAGCCTCGCCTCTGTCATTGCGCCCCAGGGTGGCTACAATGTAGCTTGCTATCACCAGTTACTTAGTTAGGGACTAAGTAAAGCGCTATACAAATACAGGCCATTTACCATTCACCTCATGGTACTTTATATATAAACAATAACAGAGAGAAATCCCCAACTATCAGACGACCCCCTACGAGCATGCACTTGGCAACAGTGGCAAAGAAAAACACCCCTTTTAACAGGAAGAAACCTCCAGTAAAACAAGGCTCAGGGGAGAGGCGGTCATCTGCTCCATCTGAGGGGTTAGAGGAGGGAGAAGGGCCGAAAGACACACTGTGGAAGCTCCCAGCACACAGTTTTTGTGCTAATGTTAATAAGCTTTGAAAGCATCAGGGCCTTATCTAGTATGCACCTCAGCACTTGACAACCAGGCTCTGTCATTTTACGTGATCTGTCACTTCGCTGTGGTTCCCAAACAATTCCATATAGCATAAATCCCACTACTAGTTAATCATGGAATATTTAGCTGTGCTGTTACCAGACGGTAGCGTTTTACTACAGCACCACGCACAACGAAGGACCCATTATTTCACAAATGTTTGAGCAAAACCTACAACCTACTGTTTTTCTCCACATACTGTATCAGAACAATATGTGCTCATAAAACTTGATTTTGACACAAATTTCCACTTTTTTCATAACTACAGTATGTAAGGTCAAAATAGCATCATGTTTTACCCACGGAAAACACAAATATTGTGCCGTCAAAGAAAAGTCAAAGGCAGCTATTTTAGACGGATGGAAGATTATTTGAGTCCCAACGACCTGCTGTCATGGGAGGCTTAGCTACCACTGTGGTGAGCTAATCTATCCCTGTGCTTGGAGTGCTACAGACAAGCAGTGGATGTATTGTGCTCGGTCCTGCATCGGTATGCTGCGGAGCACTGCGGGGGGATATGTGCGAGGGATTAGCTTGAGTTAAAACTGTAATACAGGCTGGTGCAGCGAGAGGAAATCACTTGTCTGTCTGGTCTTTGTCTGCTCTGCATTACAGCAGAGGAGAGGGTCAACAGTTCACAAGATGAGCAGGCAGCGGAGGAACACTTAACCCCTGTGAGCTTTCATAATGTCTTGTCATTACCTCATGGCAAGGTACATGGAAACATCTGAAATAAAGGATCTTTGCTACCAACCTTGGCCTTGCCAGTGCTCTGCAGAATGTGAACCAGCGCGCACGCCATCTCCTCCTTGTTCTTGACGCTAATCCCAGGCTCGAGCACAGAGCACAGTAGCATGTAGTTATTGGTAGTGTACTCTGCAAATTCTTTGTACATCTCCATGGGAAGGATGTTCATGCTCTGATAGCGTGCCTTAATTCTAATCATGGGACCAGACGTCTTGCCCTTGGGCGGGTTCGGGGTGCTGACGGGATACCATTTCTCCACAAACTGTCGCCCGGTGACAGCTGCGACGGGGATGTTGATGAGTCCGATGTAGTTGTTTTTGTCTTTCTTTTTCTTCTTGTCTGTGTCTTTGTAGAGGTGGGCTGTGATGGTCTTGACGACGGGAAGGTTGCTGAACTCAAAGTGCTCTCCCCAGAAGACGTTGTCGGTCTTGAGCTTGCAGGTGGTGCGGGCGTAGAGCGAGTCGTCGAGGCAGAGCTCACAGTAGTATTTCTTTTTGGCCGGCAGATCCTTGGCTTCGATGATCCACAGCCTCAGCATGTTCTCGACCCGTCGGCTGTTGTCCTGGAGACGGAAGATGACAGGAAGTAGTTTGATCAAATTTTTAAAAGCAACATGATAAAAATAATTTACTGAATAAAAAAAGGCAGTGAACAAATCCACTAAACAAACCACATAGTTGGAAAAGCAAACTGATAAAATTCGAGATCAGACCCCGACAGGGAAGTCTCACCGCTTCAAGAGTCAAAAACAACCTCGGCAGTATTTCAAACATTTCACTGAAGCAATTTAAAAACCTCCCTTTCTCCCTTCCATTCCCGATCATTAAAGAGCTAAGAAATATCCTACATTATTTCACAGAGTGCTAACCCATTCTTATGTCATCAATTGATTTTGCCAAGAGCGGGCATATTTTTGGCCCATTATTCACACTGCCTTTGAAAACTACCTCCCAAAAAGAAGAGAGGAGATAAGAATTACATTATTTTAAAAAAAAAAGAAAAAAAAAAGAAAAAGAAGTGGCAGAGCGTCTTACAATCACGAGAACTACTTTAGATCTCTGGAGTGCTCAGAACTCACCGGTATCTGAATACGTTTCACATTCTTTTAATGGTGCAGTTAAATTTCGTTTACGCTTCGTGTTTCTGTTGCTCTTCATCTTATTTTTGATGTCTCCGCCATTCATTTAAGTGCAGCTACATGAAACGGGGAGCTGAAATTTGAGGCACTAAGCTGAGTTACAGACACCTACAAAGAAAAGACGGGCCTTTTTTTTTTTTCCTCCCCAAGGCTTTTTAACTTGCTTCTATTTGTTACTGAAAAACATACATATGTCTCTATCAAAATATCATCGTGCTCTTCTACATATTGCCTGGTTATGTCACAGTCTTACATAAACCTTCAAGGAATGTCAAGGGATCGCACTTGTGTTCCTTTCCAGGTCCGTCCCCCACAAATCTAGAGAATAAACCCTCCAAATGATGAGCACTTAACTTCCTTATTAATCTCTCCAACAGACGGCAAATATCTTGACTTGCGTGATTCATGTGCTGAGTCACTGCGCACATGATAATTAAAGCACAGTTCTACCATTTGACGTAACCAAGCAGGAAATTAAAAGGGTAATTAAATATGCTGCTGTTTGCTCTTTAAAAGCGTTTTCATTCTTCAACTGCAGTTCGGTTAGCCGTGATAAAAATACTTAGGTTTAGAAAGAAAACAATCACACAATTGGTGTTTGCCCAGTGAGTGCACTGAATGTTTTTGCTTTCTACAACTGATTGCAAGTGGTTGACCTTAGGTTGAGTGTGCAACGCCCTCAACCTCTGGACAACCAACTTTCACTCGCAATTTTACTCTTCAAATCTATGAGGCTCTGGCAGTATTCTGAATGTAAGTAGCTAATGGGAATTTCTCTGTTTGTAGACGACAAAGGATTTCCAGTTTTCACCTTGTTTATCTCAGTTAATCACCTCATTATCATAAAGAGCGCGCACCGAATTACAGACTAATTGCAAACTTGACCCAATTTAATTACAAACTGATTGCAGACTGTCTTTTTTATTGCGTTTTCGTCACCATCTTGGTGCCTCAAAGTTGCTTTGAAGATGGCAACTGGCTGCAAGCGGTCACAAACCTGGTCTCAACCTTTCAAGCAATTATTTCAAAGGCAGCTCAATCTCAAGTTCCTTGTTCACAGTCACTATAATTGTGCTCCTGCTGCAGTCTCCAGCCACTGCCTTCCTTAGTGACTATGATCATTAGGAAGCCATTCTGGCAGAAAGATCCGAGTGCAAACTGTGTGCAGTAGCCTTTATGTAACCAAAACTGAAACTGCTTTTTCACCGAGATGTATGATCTTAAAAACGCCATAGTTTTCTTGACTGTCTAACCTGGTATAGGTAATATCATAGTAGTGGTGGATTAGTGGTAGTAGATATATTTAAAGTGCTTTAGAGAAAAATTACGAAATAAAGTTAAATTTTTAAAAACATTTGCTAAAAAAATGCATTTCATCCACTCAAAACACACATATCAAAAGCGCTAAGACAAGGACCATTCCAGAGCTATTTAAGAACCCCTCCACAACCCCAACGCCGCCACTTCTCCACATCTAATTAATGAGTAATTTGCTAAATAATGACGGATGAAAGAGTGAAGAGGCTGAGTGAGCAGGACTATTTTCCCGGCTTAAAATGTTTGCCACCTTCCCCTTGTCACAGCTGTTTGTCAGGATCCCAGATGGTACTGAAACATAAAAAGCTCTTTACATGTTGCCTGTATGCCTTCTTCATCAAACCTGACGTGCACACATCGGATTCTTGCTGCGTGAGTTGCAACACAGTGTAAACTCTGTATGGCTCTGTCCTCATCACTGTTTCAAAGTGTGGTTTGGAATTGAGACACTTGTGTATGAACATATTACCACTGAATACTTCACACCCACTGTGTGTTTTTGCATACTCACCTTGTTTGGTTGTACAGCCCTCCTCAGATTCTCCATCCATTTGTCTCTTTCGGCTGCTGAACGGCATGAGAAACATTTGCTTCCTGTGGAGGTAGTGACCTACCACAGAGAGAAGGGAAAATTTAAAATGCTTTGGTGATACTGTCAGAAAAAAAATAGAACAGTGAAGGTTTCACTAAAACTTTGCTCATAAATACCACAGACAGCAAAAGAATGGTAGGAGCATCTTCAGTCTCCTTATGTGAGAGCTGTTTTTGAAACTGGATGGTTTAAAATAAGCACAGCAGGATGAATGGTGAACAGAGCACAGGGCAGAAAGTTTAGGATAGTATTGGGTCGCTTCCCTCCAAGAAGCTCCCTTGTTGACAATTCAGCCCTTAATGCAGTGATTAAAGACAAAGTCTGTCATAATTTGTTTTGAATTTCTCTGCTCCAACAACAATAATTACAAGACATCAAATTTCATGTAGTAATTAAAGAAACTGCCCACTGTACTTCCATTGATTTTCTGTAACTAGAGAAAAGTAATCAAGAGTTAATCACAACATTGTGTGTTCCACAATAAAGAGAAGTTGGCTCTATCATGACTTTTGATTGCGACTGGTCATCAGCAGCTCATAAAGAAGGAGATTTACAGCAAAGACAGGGGATTAGAGGACTCGCTGGTTCCAAAAATATTCCTGCTAGAGGCTGAATGATATAGGCTTTTTAAGACAGATACCAACACCAATATTTGGGGACTTAGAACTCCAATATATCGGCTGATATTATGA